CTGGTGCGCATCTACAGCCGGTTGGTGGTGGTGAGGAAATGGATGCTGGATGACAGTAAGTGGCATGGGTGCGTCGGGCAATCACATCTAACCAACTGATCATTAGCTGTTCTCGTGCTTTCCTGGGTGAGTGACGGTGACTAGACGACTGGCATCATCGACTGATTTGGATTGCTCATGGTGCAGATGTTCGCAGCCATCACACAATCCGTCTTACTCTGTGAGGTGTTCCGGAGTGTCTGCCCGCTTCCCAGATATGGATCGCTAACAATCCGCCGGGATTTTCAGACGGATACACACACGCTGGGCTTGGGATCCATCAATGGGAGCTCACAGTAGAAGACTACAACAAGTCACTGAAGGTACGGAGTTCGAGTCGTGCCTGGTTCGTCTAGCACCCTTCATTGATGGCCAAGCAGGTTCTCATGGCTGGCGCAGTCATGTATATCCCAGCCCTCGGACTCTCCAAGATTGGCCTCATCATTCTCTATTATCGCCTATCCGATATGCAGCGCAGCTGGCGAATCATCCTGTGGAGTTTCACGACATTTGTCATATCCTACATGGTCATTCTCGAATGCTTGTTCCTCTTCGGCTGCAACCCAATCCAGAAGGCCTGGGACGTAGCCATTGAGGGCCAGTGCATCAGCCGAGCCTCGATTTTCTTGGCCGGCACGTGCGCCAGTATCTTCATCGACATTCTCTTGGTGATCACGCCTCTTCCGGTGGTGGTGGGGCTCAATATGGCGCCCAAGAAGCGCGTGGGGGTGGCCTGCATGTTCGGGCTTGGCGGATTGTATGCTTCATTCTTCCTCGTCTTCGTCTGTCACACTGCAGCGGCTAACCAGTTCATGATCGTGGGTAGGTCCCTGATTACCAGTTGTATGCGGTTGGCGTCGGTCGTCCCAATGCTGCATACCAACGACGAATCCTATCGGCTCGGGGCTATGGTGTTGTGGATGTAGGTGATGATGAATTCGCGTGGTGATGGCAGGGTGCTGACCGTCCTACAGCAACGTTGAAGCCAGTCTGATTATTGTCACGGCTTGCGTACCATCCTTCCGCCAGGTGTTTTTCGCTGGCTCGTGGGGCAGCGGTGGTAGTCGGGAGAGGGCTTTGAGTAGTTATAGCCTGCAGAGCGGGCAGCGACGACATCGCGGCTTCACCAATATTACACTGGAACTTGACCCCGATCGACCGGATTCTGTCGAGCGGGTTGTGCCTGGTAAAGCTCCTCAGGAAGTTTAGAATCATCTTCGTCCATTTGAGACGTGTTTTGAGTCGGAAGTTCATTGGGTCAAAAGAGTTTGAGTTTTGGCATATCCATTTAGATTGAGCCAACTATAGAGACGGCGTGGTCAGCGCACACAGATTCTTCGGGTTGACTTGATAGTAGCATAGATGTATCCATAAAATGCATTGATTCCCCTGGCCTCCCCATCTACAGCTTGACAAATCGACTCTTCTCTGCCATCTTCCCTGCGAGTCCGGTCACCGAAACCGCATGCATGACGTCGAAGATGGAGCAGTCCGCCTGCACCGTCGCAACCGACTAATTGCGCAATTCCACTGCCACTAAAGAATCGACGCCGAACTGCGCGAGAGGCAAGGAGGGAAGAAGAGTATGCAAATTCCACAATCCTTGGACTTTGGGCTTGAAGGCGGCGAGGTAGACTTAACGGGTCAAGGCCACGATGATTCCATCCTAGAGTTGGTAAGTGAGATCAGTAAAGTCCTTGTGATCTGTTCAGGTTGACGGATCGATCTATAGACGTACCTTCAGCACTATGGCGGCTTGAATGACGCTACGAATGGGCGGTAGGTGGGAGGCATGTTGCTGTAGAACCCACTGCAGCTGAGTCGCGTTAGTTATGTCGCAGCTGGCCAGCACATTTGTGGCCCCGGTGGCCTGTCGTAGATGTGCAAGCCATGGAGAAGCTCCAGTTGTGGTGGAGGTAGTAGAGGCAGAAGCCGAAGCCGAAGCCGAAGCAGAGGATAAGGAGATGGCGGACACCGCTTTCCACCACCAGCCTCTGGGCGAGATACTGCCTGATTCCCTCCACACCGCCTACGATTAGATACGTCTATTCACGTGACAGCGTCACCGGTGGCACATAATCTATAGCCCGCTGCAGCTTCACCTCCTCCTCCTTCACCTTCATCACAATCTACCCCACGTGTTGGCCGGTCTGCATCGTGCGAATTGCTGTCTCAATTTTTCCTGTGCCAAATTGTGTGACCGCCCTGACCGGTCGAATTTCCCGTTTCTCCATTAGTCCACTGATCGCTCCCAAGATCCGTTGCACCTCCGTTCCCCGAGCGTGATCAGATCCAGCGACGCGAACACCGTACTCTGCCCAAACGGCCCCATCTCCACCATGCTGTTCTGTTCAATATCTCGCTTACCGATCTCGATACCTCGTCCAAACATGCCCACGCACTGCCACGTTTCGCGCAACAAAGCGCCCGCAAGCGAATTGATCACCACGTCCACCCCCTTCCCCTTGGTCGCCGACATGAGATGATTTGCAAAGGAACGGTTGCGGCTACTGAGGATGTGCGACGGGGGATTCCATATTCCTCTACCAGGAAGTCGCGTTTGCGCTCCGATCCGACCGTCACGAAGATCTCTGCCCCGATCCACCGCGCGACCATAATGGCGGATTGGCCGACCCCCCGGTGCCGGAGTGGATGAGCACTTGTTCATCGCGCTGGGGACGTGCCAGATCCACCAGGGCATTATAGGCGGTGATAAATGCAAGGGGGATGGAGGCTGCCGTGATGAAGTCCATTTTCGCGGATATCTGGGCCACGTTGGTGAAGGGGATACGCACCCTGGTCGCGAAGTAGCCGAGAATGAAGGCATACACCCACTGTCCAGCAGTGAAGCCAGCGGCGCGTACGCCCGGTCCGGCGCGGGCGATCACTCCACTGCACTCAAAGCCCATCCGCGTTTGTCGAGCTGGCCCAGCGCAACCATGATGTCCCGGAAGTTGAGTTCGAAAGCGCATGGCTCGATCTCCACACAGTCGTCGGCAAGAGCTTCGTCGATAGTGGGATCTTCCGTAAACACAAGGCTGTTCAGCAGACCCGGGGTGGCAACTTCCAGCGGAATGTTCTGGCCAGGGGTCGACCAAGGCTGCATCTCGGGGCCTAAGGCCGCGTGGTGCCCATCAGTCGGGCCTCCTGTTGGTCTTCGTATTTTTCGTATACTTTGTGAGATATGGATCACGGAATCTCGCACGGCGTACTCGGTTTTTGGTAGAGGAGCCGAGGATGCTGCCAATACGTTGCGGACAATGTGTGCGATATCAGTCGCAGATGAGAGAGACCACACGGGGGCATTGGGGTCCAAGTCCACCGAGACGTATCGGTGGAGAGGATTCTCACAGCGCAGTGTGCGGAGGAGACCTTGATGCAAACTGTTTAGAGGTTCTTCAGCATTGCATTGTGCACCGCATGATACCCACACTGTAGCCCAACAGCTGCGGAGCACGCGTTGAAGGGCATTAAATTGCTCAGCAGAAGGGTCATCGAGCATTGGCTGAAAAAGCTCGTCTAAGATGATACAAGCTTTGCCATCGGCAACAACCTTTTCAAGCGAGGAGACAACGAAGGGGCTAGACACAAATTCAGCAGCTAGCCCGTGCTCAAGTGCTTGCTGCCAGTCTTCCGGCGGGTTGTTTCTAGAAATGAGAGGAACCTCTGTTGGAGTGGCAGATGTCACGTCTGTCTTGGCCGTCGCAACGACTACTCCTCCTTGGTACCCGTCTGCGTTGAGATCTGGCTGAAGGTGGGAGCTGACCGACTCGAAACCGGCCTGCGCACAGAGCTCCTTCCACAGGTCACTGGCATGAACACTGCCCTGCCATCCTTGAAAAAGTCGGAAAATAGTCTGCAACGCACTATCGCCCAGGCTGGTGCCCCAGAGGATGCATCTCCAGCCAGGAGCAGAAAGAGCATGCATTGAGCTGAGGGTCTGAACCATTTCCTTCACCGTCAACAAAGCTGATGCGGATAGAATAAGCAAATTGTAGCTTTTTGGGCATATCCCTGGCACCAGGCTCCGCGTTCAAGTCTAGAACCCTGCATTCGATGTCTGCCTCATCCTTGAGGACCGTATCCGCGTTCTTGACCAGTCCTGCACTAGAGGCAGTGACCTCGTAGCGAGAGAACAATCGCGTATCGTCCTGGGTCAAGGCCTTTTAAATTTCCGTGTATTGGCACCATTACCTGTTCCGATCTCGAGGATCCTAGCCCGAGGACGTTTGTGGCCGTGAAGCTCGAGCAGCCGAGTTCATACCGATTCGAGCCTCTCTGAAACAGAACACCACTCAGCCCGGTTCTCGGCCTTGAATTCAGCAGGATATCCTTTGCCTCAGCTACTCCAGATAGGACATCAGGAAGCTTCTCTCCGAATCGATACAGTAATCTTCCCTCGACACACTGTCTCAGCTCTTGTGTCAGCGCTGCCATTCCATGCGCGGTAACCCCAACGATGTCGAGAATCGGACGAGCTCTTTCTGCAACGTCTGTCGTCCATTTCCAGTAACTTGACTGGTCAGATGCGACTCGATCTTTACCTTGAAATTGATGCAAAGCATCCACAATGAACATGACAGCCGCGGTCTGTAGCTGAGAAAGATGGGGATGGGTCCCGCTTGGTGCACCTGGCCCAATGAAATGCTCAGGTCGGACAAAATAAATATCTGGCTTCCAGACCGAGGTATAGCAGAGTCTGTCGTCGGGCATCCGCACCGCAGGATTCGGACCTAAGGACTGGCACCAGAGCCTCTGGACAGTGAGAACCGGCCTTTCGGACTCTGGGCCAGAAATGAGGTACAACAGAGCCCCTCGCAATGCAACGTCTACAAGCCACTCGTCTGTCTGGCAGACTGGATCAAGAACTCATACCACCCCTGTCCTTGACGAACCTGATCGCTACATGCGCGGAGGGACGATAGTACCTCAACTCCTGCTGGGTCTTCCAGAATTACTGGCTTAAACCCTAATAGCCATGGATGGGTTGGGCTGTGATTGCAACTGTCGCAGTGCCTCAACCACCATGCTCATAGATCCCGCCCCGGAATAGAGAAATTATCCCTGCACGATGTGGTCGCGCACCCAAGGGATATCACGAGGATGGACTATATGTCGCCACGTGGGCGTGGTCTGAGTCGATCCTGGTGCAGGAACCCCAACAAGATCGCGAGGGATGGCAGTTCGATGGCGGAGTTCTTCGTTACGACGAGGTTCGGCCCAATATGAGGCCTCATGGTTCCACGGGCAGGGTGGAAAATTAGTCAAGACGGGCAAGGTGCTTCAGCCGCAGGGGAAGTAGACGGCTTTCAGGTCAACAGGATAGCCCGCTTGCAGAAGAGTGCGGACGAGCTGATGCATGGTCTGGACAGCATTCTGGACATGCGACAGACACGTAGCATAGGTGATCCCCACACTACTCAGCCCAGGTAACGCCAACGTTTGCCGAATAGGACCAGCCAAGCGCCATGCGGGCCGACCCCAACAAGCATGTCAATAGTGGTCTTGGTAGCGTCAGAATCATCATGATACAAGTTACGCCACGCGCTCAGAAACTTCACCGGCCGCACCATGTTACGCACCCAGCGGTCGGGGTGAGCAATCTCTGCAGCCGACGTTATCCTTTTATTATCCTTTTCCCTGTGGTTGGGGACGAGTAGATGATGCTGGAGTCAAAAACGGGGTTTGGCTCGAGGAATCGAGACAGCTGGGCTCGGTACGCCTCGGCCAGCGGCAGCATGTTGTGCGAATTATAGGCTGCCTCGACATGAAGACGACGCACAAAGACACCACGGCCATGGAGCGGGGTCTTGATTTCCTCAATCGCGCACTCGTCGCCCGAGATCGTCACGCTGGACGGACTGTTCACGCAGGCGATGATGACCTTGCCGGATCGAATCGCAGCCAGCGCCTTCTCAGCATCCTGACGTTCTAGCCCACCGCAACCATGCCTCCTCGACAATCAAGGAGTTGTTGGTACTGACTGGTCAGATCACCTCGGATGTACACGATTGCCAGTGCGCCTTTCAGGGTGACGGCTCCGGCGGCGTAGGCAGCAACGCCCTCTCCACTGATATGAGCGGTGACTCCTGCAGGATAGACGCCCTAAGAACGTAGCAGGTCGACCAGAGCAAGCCGAATAGCCACGCTCAGTGGTAGACTATACGGGACCTGGTTGAGACGACTTTCCTTGGCATTTCGCTCCAGTTCCTCGAGGGCAGACCACGTAGCCCCCATTGACTTCAAGCAAGCGTCGACCTCGTGTATGGTATCACAGAAGACCGGATAAGCGTCGAGCAGCTCGCGACCCATGGCAAACCATTGAGCGCCTTGGCCAGTAAATACCATTCCCACGCGTGGCACACGCATACTGCGCTGGGTTGTCAAACCTGGGGCATCGAGGGTGGCGTATGCTTCAGTGATTGACGAGCCACTCCAGGCTATGGTGCAAGGAAACCGGGTGCGTCGCTGTTCGAGTGTAAAAGCCAGCTGATCGAGCAACTCCTCGTTTTCCTCGCTTTCATGGATCCTGGTCGCGAGATAGTAAGTAGTCCGCTGCAAAATCTCTGGGCTCTCTATGATAGCATGGGCATTCGCACCTCCAGATTCAAAGTTATTGATGGATGTCCGCCGCAGCAACAGTCAAGGCCATTCATGCAGACTGAGGGGGATCTTCAAGTTTAATGCATCAAATGCAATATTCTCGTTCGGCGACTCGAAGTTCGGATGCGGAGGAATAGCCTGCTTCTCGATCGCCATGACTGCTTTAATAACAACCACCGGACCACTAGCAGCTCCCGTATGGCCGGTGTTCGTCTTCACCGAACCGACGACAAGTGGGCACTCAGTGCTGCGTCTGAGTCCAAACACGCGCCTAATCGAATGAGCTTCGATGGCATCGCTCGCTTGCGTGCCTGTCTCGTGGGCTTCCACGAAACCGGTGTCGCGCGGATCGAGACCAGTCATCTTATAGCACTCTTGCATCAAGACCTCCTGTGCCTCCTGACTGGGCGAAGTCAGAGTCGCTGTTTTACCATCCTGGTTTGCGCTGAGTTGCGAGTCACAGCACAAATGGGGTCCCCGTCTCGGACTGCCGCTATCAGGGGCTTGATGATCATACTGGCAATTCCGTCCCCACGTTCATAGCCCGTGGCTCGAGAATTGAAGGCGAAACAGCGCCCTTGCGCCGAAAACAAGCTGAGATTCGATCCGGCAATGGACATATCCAGGTTGAGTAGGATATTGGAGCCACCCACGATGGCCATGTCTGACTCGCCCGGCCGGAGACTCTGACATGCCAAATGCAGCAGCGTCAGCGTCGTCGAACACCCGGTGTCGACCATCAGACTGGGCCCGCGGAGATCGAAGAAATGCGAGATCCGGTTCGCGATCATTGCCGCGCCATTGCCCGTGAGGAAGGACCGAGCTAGGGTATCGGGGTCGCGCAATAAGCTGTCGTGGTTATCTCGGAAACAGGTCCCTGCATAGACGCCGGTGCGAGAGCCAGCCACTTGATCGAGGGGGAGACCTGCACTTTCCAGGGGCTCGTAGACGGTCTCTAATTGGAGGCGCACTTCAGGGTCCATTGTCTGCGAATGTCAATGGTCTCTTCACTTGCAGGCACGAACGAGGGTGGAACCCACGCTGGCCGCGTCGGCTGTGAAGTTGAAGAACACAGCATCGAACCGGGAAATGTCCTCCGCGAGGAAATGCGCGCCTTTCACATATGACTATAATTTGTTGGCAGAAGATTCAACAGTCTTCCTCACCCGACAGGCGAGTAATGCAAGGTGAATGTTGACATACAGTCCCTAGATGTTCCTTATTCGGATGATACCAGCTCTCCGCGTGAAACCGAGATTCCGGAATCGGAGACCAGGAACTCTGCCCGTTGGCACAGCACAGAGATCCCAGAGCCTTTCGGGACTGGACGCGCCACCAAGAAAGCGGCAGGCCATGCCAAGGATGGAAATGGGCATGACCTTCGGATCGCGTTCAGATGCGTCTGTTTCACTCGAGTTCCCTGCAGAAATCATCGTATAGGAAGGCTGATCACGGTAAGATGCTGAGGCAGGTATGATGTTGACGGTAGGCCAGTTGATCTTGGGCTTAATCTGCAATAAGTGCTGAGAAGCGGAGGTTGATGCTACTGAAACATTTCACTTTTGAACCAATGGCAGCTGTCGCAAACATCATAGTCTTCCATGTTTAGTGTGGAAGGTAAGGTAGGCGTCCGGTCTGGTGATGGGGTCTTGTGATGAGCAATTCACTCGTACGGCCATCCTAGAGCTGCCGGGTCAGGGTTGGGCGCGTTTGACTGCCTGGAAATCAGTAATCGAATGAAAGGATATTTCTCAGCCTGTCTGGGCCTTGATGCATCACATCAGGTGGCTCTGGTCAAGTACTTTTGTAGCAGGGCGGGCCGATCACCAACGTTGCGAATGTTGAGCCCGAATCCATGTCACTTCGGTCGTTTGATTCCATCTCTGATTAGGCTTTTGCTGTACCTTGATCCATCAGCAGCCGCAGACGTGACGCAGGTATTCCCCTGTTGTAGAATGGCAAGGAGGAGTCAATTATTGATCCAGTGCGTCTAGAGTATCTGAAGCCCCGAGCCAGATTACGCTCGTGTTCATATCTGCCTACGCTGCAGAGTCATGCGTCTGCGCCGCGAGGTCGATCTTGAAACAGAGTGCAGCCAGTAGGTAGGACGCTCTTCGAGCTGACGTCTGCATGGTGTTGAGCTGCCAATGTTACAGGGCTACCACTGTTGCCTATCCCATCTCCCTCTCTACATATGCATGATCTACCACGAGTGGCATACACAAATGATATCACACTTGAATGGTGACATTTTCCCGGTTATTCCCCTGCAGAACGACAAAATGATGCTGTTTGGTCAAAAGCGAAAGTATATTCTCAATATCTAATTTATAGCGCGTTGATAATTGCATCTCACCAGATTTAAACGCAAACAATCCCCGTGAACGCACGCCCATCCTCCTGATACAAAATCTCCTTCCGTTTCCCATCCCGATCACAGCGATAGACACCACCCCCGAGGTCCGTCAGGAAGATATCCCCGGATTGCCGATCAAGACTCACCCCAATCGCCTCATGCAAACCCCGAGCCAGGATCTCCGGCTTGCCCGTCGGTCGACCCTTTACATCCAAGCTGACTCGATAGAGTGCATTGCCCAGAGGCAGCTCCCCGCGATCCGTCCAGTACAGCTCGCCTTTCTCCTCATCGATCTCCAGATCAATCGGCTCAGGCAATCCGCTCAGGATGCACAGTTCCTCGGCCTCGGCCTCTTCCACAATTCCCGGTGGTGAATGGATCGCAGCCGAGAAGATCCGCCCTTTCCCACTCTTAGGCGCGCCCTTCTGTGTCCAGTAGAACCGGTTGAACCGAGTCGAGACGGCTATCCCGACGCACCAGTCCCGTACGTCAGTCACCCCTTCGCCTTCTCTCCCTCGCTGTCGTGAGACGAGAGTCTCCAGACCTGACCCGTCAAGGTTACAGCGGTACACTGCGCAGCCCTCGCGGTCGGAGAAGTACAGCTTCCGCGCTGTCTGGTCGAGGGTCAGCTGCTTGGGGGTGTTGATGGCGCCCGGTTCGAGGACGGTCTGGATGTCGCTCCCGTCTAGAGCTGAGGAGTAGACTGCACCATCCTGTCGGCCGGGGACCCCCATGTTGGTCCAAAAGATGCGGTTGGTCGTGGTATCGACTGCGATGCCGTCAGGAAGGAGCTGGTTGGCAACCAACACTTTGGAATCGGTCCCGTCTGCCGCGAGAGAGAGGATTTGGCCGACTGGGGTGGAGATCGATGAGGCCGCGGTGGAAGAGGCGAGTCCGACGTCTAAGACGAGGAGACGGCGATCTTGGGTGGTGGGGTCACTGCTACTGTTGCGGGCTGCGCTAGACAGGGGATAGAACCCGCCCAAGGCGCATTTAGCGCCCAATTTTCCTTTCTCGAGGTAGTTGGTGGTGAGGTAGTCCACGGTTTTTTCGGAGGAAAGGCCCCGTTCGTGGATGTAGTGCTGTTCGATGAAGGCGACGGTGTCGAGGCCAACGCCTGTTCCACCATGAAGACTTAGTATGACGAGACGGATATGCAGCTCCGGGCATCAAACTCACTATCCATCATCCTGCACGGCAGCGTCCTCCCCCGAATAAACATCTCCTCCCACATAGCATCAATCTCCTCAGGCACCGACACCCCCTCCGACAGAATGGTCAGCACCTCTCGCTTGACGGCCGCCCAGAGCCGATTGAAGATAAACCCGGTCGACTGTTTGCGTGCGACATACGGCGAAGTCGCGCCTTCGCGGCACCGGTCCACCATAAAGGGGAATATGGCCTCATGCGTGAAGCCGTCCGTCATCAACTCCACCGTCATGCACTGCGGCGGCATGTAGTAGTGCATGTTCAGGATTCGTGGCTTTACTGCGTTCGGGACCCGGTCTAGCATCTCTGAGGTCTTGTAGGAGGAAGAATTAGATGCAAGAATGCTATCATTTGGGGCGAGGGCGGATAGATCGGCGAAGGTGTCGATCTTCAGAGGCAGCCTTTCGGGAACGGCCTCAATGACGAGCCAGGCGGATTCTACTGCTTCTTCGAGGTTGGTGAAGCTGTGCGCTTTGCCTGGGATGCAGCCCGTCTTGCTGGCGTAGGAGGAGATTTGTTCATGGATGTAGGCAATGCCGGCGGCGAGTTGCTCCGAGCTGGGGTCGCGTAGGTGGACGTCGTAGCCTGCGGAGGCCCAGATGCAGCCTATTTACTGCATGTATTAGCGTACATGTCCGAGGATGAGGGTCGAGAATACTGACCGATGCGTCTTCCAAGGACACCGGCGCCCAAAACCGCAACAGGGCGGTTCCGGTAGTTGTGTGGTGGTGACCAGCTGGAATGCATTGTGTGTGCCAGGAAAGACGATGTGTTGCGAGTTCGGATTTCAGCAAGTGGAAAGCTTATCTGATTCGTTGCAAGCCGACAGGGATCTGAGACTCCAAGGCGAAAATGCTATATATATTGAATGGGGTGGTGGTATAGTTTCTCAGGTATATCCAGGATGCCGATATCCGGCCTGCCGCGGCCTGCCGAGGTGAGGTGCTAGGCTTGGATCCACTGCTTGCTTGATCCCGCGGGAGAACTGCTGCCAGACTTTTACTCTCGGTGTACTATGGTTATACTCTAACTCAAAGTTAGTTACTCTATGCGGAGCACTTGTTGGGACCGACATGACAACACTCCCGCGGCATGTTGTCATGATAATCCCAACAGTCACCGTGAGCCCCCCACCATTCGTGCCCTCACTTCTTCCAGAATCACTCTTTCATCCTTCTCCCCGGTGTCCCACTCCTCCTCGATGATCTTTTTCCTCTCCTCGCTTCGCAAGCTGAATTTGGCCTTGACAGCAGCGGGATCCGAGTCCTTCGTTAGAGGGGGCGCGTCCCCTTCACCCTCCCCCACCTCATCGCGGACGATGTCAAACCCCCACAGCAGCCTTGCCACCACGATGAACAACGAGGCCCGCGCCAGTCGATAGCCTGGGCACAACCTCCTCCCAAACCCAAACGCCGAAACTGGCAGCCCCGGGTTTTCAACATACCGCTGGGGCTGGAAGGCCTGCGGCTCCTCAAACACCTCCTCATCCATGTTGAACCCCAACTGATTCGCGATGACCGTCGCACCTTTCGGAATCCGATACCCCATATAAATGTCCTCCTGGATGACCGCATGTGGCACCCCGATCGGGGAGATGGGCCGCCAGCGCAGGAGCTCCGAGATGATCGCATCGAGGTAGGGTAGGGCCGGGATGTCGGCAAAGGTGGGGAGTCGTGATGCGCCGACCACGACGTCCAGCTCGCGCTGCCCTTCCTTGACCGTCTCTGGGTGCAGCAGGCTGGCCAGAACGAAGTTCTCCAGCACCACCTTGGTGGTGTGGATGCCCGCCACGTACAGCTCGCCCAGCGAGTAGCAGATGTGCTCCCACGGGAGAGAGGCCATGATGTCGGACTTGGTGGTGATCTCGTGGCTCCAGTTCCAGCAGGGGGCGTTGAGGGCGCTGTCGGTGCACTCCTGGTAGACGGATTTGGTCCGCTCGTGCAGGACGCTGGCTTTGGTGCGCCAGGTGAGGAAGCTGCGGACGGGGATGAGGCGGTCCAAGATGGGGAAAAGGTCCAGCAGATTGGTCCAGAAGGGGGCGGCTTGGAGAATGAAGACGGCCATCTCGTTGATCTGTTCCAGGCGCACGTGGTCGCTGTCGGAGCGGCCCTGGCCTTTGCCGTAGACAAGGGTGAACATGACATTGGCGGTGTATTGGTAGAAGAGATCGGAGAATCTGGGGGTCTTGCTGCTGCTGCTGCTGCTGTCTGCGGATAGGAGAAACGAGTACATCAGCTGCTTACTTTGGATATCCTGCAGATGCTGGTAAGCGTTGGTGCATTGGAAGTTGAGCAGCGACATGTGCAGCCGGCGATTGAGGCGCCATTCGTGTCCGTACGGCATGAAGGCGGCCGCCAGCCCTTTGTGAAGGTATTTGTCCAGCCATACGGACGGGGGGCGTGAGCTGTAAATGCTGGCACGTTTCTCGAGCAGTTCCTGCGCGACCTGACGAGTGCCTAGGATAATAAATGATCGAGTTCCGACGTGGAGGTGTACTACGGGGCCGTACGTCTGGCTCCAAGCGTGGAAGGTTGAGGCAAGGTCTCGTTGCTGGATGAGGGCTGTGAGTCCAGCGATGAGCCCCGGACCTGGTGGCAGTGGCAGTGCCCCTGGTGAATGAGAGCGAATGTAGCCGCCATAATACAGACAGAGAGACAATGTCAAGGTTAGGAGTGTGAGGAGGACTGGAGTCTCCATTGCAGTGCTTCAGTCTTTGCGTATGTTTTTCTTTGGCTCTGCAAGAGGTGAGCAGTGATCACCCGGGGAATGCAGAGCTTTAGCTTCGGTTTCCCTCTGGGAGCGAGGCGTACCTCACCGCAGAAGAGCGATGCTCTATTACTACGTAGATGGTGGTGCATTGCCTGCACC